GGGTCATTTTTGACCAAAGACCACAAGTGTGACTATTTTTTTTAAGACCACTTAGCATGCTCAGATCATGACCTCAATTTTTTTGTGTGTTCACATACATAATGCCATAAAAGTCACTGTCACAGTCTTCGTCTGCACCATCCTGTCTTGTCTTCAGCACTACACTTCCCAGGATCCTCTCGTCACCCTATCCCGTGTTCACTCCCTCATCAGCCACCTGTTCCTCGTCATCGTCATCTGTTTCACCTGTCTTCACCTCATTATGTTTGATTCTTCTGTGTATTTAGTTCCCTCAGTTTCCTTCAGTCTTTGTCGATCGATGTTACTGTTACCCTGTGTTCCGCCTGCCTGTATCCTGTTCTTTATGATTAAAACCTTTTTGTATTGGAGCTTTCTGGACTTTGCCTGTTCCTTCCGCCTGAACCCGCACCGTGACAGATCGATCGACCTCCAAAAATGGATTTAGCAGCTGTACAACTTCTCCTCCTGGAGCAGGAGGATCAATCCCTCGAGGCCCACACACAGAGGTATTTGGACTTGGTACCTCACGTTCACTATGATGACACAAGCCTCTGTGTGTTCTTCCGGGCAGGCCTAAACGCTGAAACCCAGGCACGCCTGCCCGGAGACGGGCCTCGAGGGGACTTTGTGGCCTATGTGGAGTGGGTGCTGGTGTCATGTGGATCTCCCTTTACCATGTATGACGTCACCAGCCCCACTCCATTGATTGAATGCTCTTCACAGCTGGTTCCGTCCAGCTCTCCAGAGATTGAATGCTCTTCACCGCTGGTTCCGTCCAGCTCTCCAGAGATTGAATGCTCTTCGCCGCTGGTTCCGTCCAGCTCTCCAGAGATTGAATGCTCTTCCCCGCTGGTTCCGTCCAGCTCTCCAGAGATTGAATGCTCTTCACCGCTGGTTCCGTCCAGCTCTCCAGAGATTGAATGCTCTTCGCCGCTGGTTCCGTCCAGCTCTCCAGAGATTGAATGCTCTTCCCCGCTGGTTCCGTCCAGCTCTCCAGAGATTGAATGCTCTTCGCCGCTGGTTCCGTCCAGCTCTCCAGAGATTGAATGCTCTTCCCCGCTGGTTCCGTCCAGCTCTCCAGAGACTGTATGCTCTTCACTGCTGGTTCCGTCCAGCTCTCCAGAGACTGAAGGCTCTTCACCGCTGGTTCCGTCCAGCTCTCCAGAGTCTGAATGCTCTTCGCCGCTGGTTCCGTCCAGCTCTCCAGAGATTGAATGCTCTTCCCCGCTGGTTCCGTCCAGCTCTCCAGAGATTGAATGCTCTTCACCGCTGGTTCCGTCCAGCTCTCCAGAGATTGAATGCTCTTCGCCGCTGGTTCCGTCCAGCTCTCCAGAGATTGAATGCTCTTCCCCGCTGGTTCCGTCCAGCTCTCCAGAGATTGAATGCTCTTCGCCGCTGGTTCCGTCCAGCTCTCCAGAGATTGAATGCTCTTCCCCGCTGGTTCCGTCCAGCTCTCCAGAGACTGTATGCTCTTCACTGCTGGTTCCGTCCAGCCCTCCAGAGACTGTATGCTCTTCACTGCTGGTTCCGTCCAGCTCTCCAGAGACTATATGCTCTTCACTGCTGGTTCCGTCCAGCCCTCCAGAGACTGTATGCTCTTCACTGCTGGTTCCGTCCAGCTCTCCAGAGACTGTATGCTCTTCACAGCTGGTTCCGTCCAGCCCTCCAGAGACTGTATGCTCTTCACAGCTGGTTCCGTCCAGCCCTCCAGAGACTGTATGCTCTTCACTGCTGGTTCTGTCCAGCCCTCCAGAGACTGTATGCTCTTCACTGCTGGTTCCGTCCAGCCCTCCAGAGACTGTATGCTCTTCACTGCTGGTTCTGTCCAGCGCGCCAGTGACCGTCCAGCCAGCGCCAGAGACCGTCCAGCCAGCGCCAGAGACCGTCCAGCCAGCGCCAGAGACCGTCCAGCCAGCGCCAGAGACCGTCCAGCCAGCGCCAGAGACCGTCCAGCCAGAGCCCGAGACCGTCCAGCCAGAGCCCGAGACCGTCCAGCCAGCGCCAGAGACCGTCCAGCCAGCGCCAGAGACCGTCCAGCCAGCGCCAGAGACCGTCCAGCCAGCGCCAGGGACCGTCCAGCCAGCGCCAGAGACCGGGATCCCACCCTGCCTCCCTCTCCCGCCTCCTCTCATCTGTCCTCGCTCTGCTCTCCTGCCCTTCAGCTCCCCTAAACCAGCCTGGTCCTTGGATCCCCGGTCTTCGCCTCACACCTCCTCCTCAGAGACACTTCCTCGGCCCTCTGTCCCATCAGCTCCCCCGTGGCTCCTACCTCCCTCAGCTCCTCCATGGCCCCTCAGTCCACCAGCTCGACCAGGCTCCCTCGACCCTCCGGACTCCCTTCGTTCCCTCGTCATCCTCCCTTCACCTTTGGACTTCCTTCCCTTGGCTCCGCCCCGTCATGTCACCCCCCCGGTTCTGTCGGACTCCTCACTCCCTCCAGTCACCCGTCAGCCCTCACTCCCTCTGGCCTCACCGTGTCCCTCTGTGCCCCTGTCGTCACTTCTGTCACCTGTACCTACGGTGTCACCATGGTCCCTCGGTCCCTCCTCAGCACCCAAAGTCGTCTGTCCCTCTGCTTCACCCTGGTCCCCTCTCCCATCTGCTCCGCCCCTGTCAGTCGGCCCCCTGGTGTTGTCAGCCCCGCTTCCATCGGCTCCACCAGGGGTCCTCCCTCCATCTGCTCCGCCCTGGTCTCGCCCTCCATCTGCTCCGCCCTGGTCTCGCCCTCCATCTGCTCCGCCTTGGTCTCGCCCTCAGCCTGCTCCGCCCTGGTTTCGCCCTCCATCTGCTCCGCCCTGGTCTCGCCCTCCATCTGCTCCGCCTTGGTCTCGCCCTCAGCCTGCTCCGCCCTGGTCTCGCCCTCAGCCTGCTCCGCCCTGGCCACGCCCTCAGCCTGCTCCGCCCTGGCCACACCCCTCTCAGCCCCCAGTTCGTCCCCCCTCCTTCCTCTGTTCTGCGGCGTGAGGTCACGCCTCCCGGGAGGGGGGAGTTCTGTCACAGTCTTCGTCTGCACCATCCTGTCTTGTCTTCAGCACTACACTTCCCAGGATCCTCTCGTCACCCTATCCCGTGTTCACTCCCTCATCAGCCACCTGTTCCTCGTCATCGTCATCTGTTTCACCTGTCTTCACCTCATTATGTTTGATTCTTCTGTGTATTTAGTTCCCTCAGTTTCCTTCAGTCTTTGTCGATCGATGTTACTGTTACCCTGTGTTCCGCCTGCCTGTATCCTGTTCTTTATGATTAAAACCTTTTTGTATTGGAGCTTTCTGGACTTTGCCTGTTCCTTCCGCCTGAACCCGCACCGTGACCGTCACCAAGTTTCGTAACATCGCGATGAAGCTGTGATTTTTAAAAATTCAAAACATACTTTTTGTAATCAAAATTTATTGGTGTGTATGTGTATAAAAGTGTGTTTGTATGTGTGTGTGTGTTGGTGGGTGTGTCTGTTTTGCACTCTAGATGTTGTAGAGTGTCACCCCTTTCTTGTGGTGTACTTTTTTTTTTTTAGAATTGTGGCCGATTTGTAGATTGTACATACAAAAATTCAGAGAATTTTTTTTTGTAGCAATTTCTCATTCATTTCCTATGGGTTGTCATTTTTGACAGAAGAGCAAAAGTGTGACTCATTTTTTTACGACCACTTAAATCACTCGAATCATGACCTCAATTTTTTTGTGTGTTCACATACCCAATGCCATAAAAGTCACCAAGTTTCGTAATTTTCGGAAGAAGCTGTGATTTTTAAATATTCAAAACAGATTTCTTTAATCACAATTTATTGGTGTTTTTGTGTATAAAAGTGTGTGTGTATGTGTGTGCATAGGGGTGGGTATGTCTGTTTTGCACTCTTGATGTTTTACAGTGTCACCCCTTCAATGCTGAGCACTTTTTTTCTGCATCGTGGCCGATTTGTAGATTGTACACACAAAAATTCTCAAAGTTTTTGTGTTTTTGTCAATTTCCCATTCATTTCCTATGGTCGGTCATTTTTGACCGAAGAGCACAAGTGTGACTATTTTTTTTACGACCACTTAGCCAGCTCGGATCATGACCTCAATTTTTTTTGTGTGTTCACATACCCAATGCCATAAAAGTCACCAAGTTTCGTAACATTCCGATGAAGCTGTGATTTTTAAAATTTCAAAACAGAACATTTTTCGGTCAGAAATGACCGAAGAGCACCTGAGGGTTAAAAGTGTTGACTTGGTCACATACTCTCCTCATTTGTACAGTGATGCTGTGAGCAAAGCTCTTGAGAAAAGCTAGCTTAATGGACCAGACTTTGTTTCAACACGGGTAGAATGCAAGGGTACCATGTACAGGAAAGGAAACTTAATTTGCCTTAAATGTGAAGAGGAGGATTCTGTTTTACAGTTTGGACAGATTGAGCTGATTTTCATGAAAGATGATGAGGTGACTTTCCTCGTGACTCCCCGCCACTCAGTGCATTTGCATGATTATGGACTTTATGAGATTTTTTCTGCGACAAAGGAATTAATTTGTGTAAACGCTGAGGAATGTCTGGATTATTATCCCTTAAATGAGTACAGTTTTATGGGACTGAAGGTCATTACTCTGAAGCACAGCGTTGTTCATCTGTAAAAAGGATAAACTGTCCTCTCCCAACAGAAATGGATGCATTTTTAATTTTTATTGAGAATGTGTTCCCAAACCCTATAACTTCAAAGCTAGCAATAGAGGGTTTGAACCGCCTAGGTGTGGAGACCATAGATGACCTTCAGTTTTTGAAAGAAGATGATCTAGGTGGCTTTCTAAAACCGATTGAAGCAAGAAAACTAATAGCCCAAATCCCAAGTAAGTTTTCAAATAAATGGTTCTTTTTACATATATATATAAATATATATATATATATATGTGTGTGTAAAAAGTATAATGTATATATGTATATATACAGTATGTATATAATTTACATATATTAATATAATTTTTTACATATATAAATTGCTTCCACTCTGCAAAACACTGCCAATGATTTGTCTGCTGAATACACTTCTGATGAATCAGGTTCACCTGCTCCTGGATGCTCAATTTCACCATCCAGCTCTTCAAGTGGAAGACGTGAGTAAAACAATGATACAGCATTAAATAATCCACAAACATCTTAGAAGAAAAGGTTCTATATAGAATCTTTAAAAGGTTCTATCAGCGCTACATATTTAGAACCCCTAAAAGATCCTATACAGAACCCTTTTTAAGGGTTCAATAGACGAATCCGGCGAAACTACCGGAAGTAAGCGGGCGCCATTACTGAGCTGTTGCTGGGTAGCGTTGCGCCATTGCCTTCTATTGTTTTAGTTGCAACTTGCGTCCACTGGAATAAACAGCCCGCGATTTACGACTGTCACTAACGTTACAACGTTATCCCTTGTATAATGTCGAGTGGGTAAACAGTTTCCGTTATAAATTGTTTCAATGGTGGCAGTAAAATTTAAATTTTGAAGAGAAAACATTGTGAATACCCCGGGTCGACTGCCCCTGTCCGGTGCCGTACGGTTTACACAGATTTCCTGGGCGAGTACAAGACGTGGACATTCGCGTATAATAACAATTATTTAATGACATAAGTAAAAAAATATAATAAATATGTGATATAGTGATCAGCAAAATCTCCTCTCTTGCTATTTTTTCTATTCAATTAACATGCTATGGTCATTAAATGGCTTTCCTGAGCTAAATGTAACGTTATGTGACATGTTCTCCCGCTGTTATATTGACCTCTTTCCATGGTTTAAAAACACTAATTGGTCGATATTATGTATACTTTCTAGCTGTAACATTACCTTACTTTTGCCCGTTGCAATGTGAAAATGAGATAAATAATGGACACAAATGAAAAACATGAATTTGTTTATTTGATTTCATTCATTTATTTATTTGTTGCCAAATGGACAGATCTTTTTATAGTTTCCTCGTTAGCAAACGTTAGCCTAGCTAGCTTGCCAAGCTATTTTCATAAATAATCTGTAAGATCGTTTGTACCTTCATCTGTGACTGGAGGCCGCTGTCTAACATCATCAACCCAACAAGTCATTCTGCCTGGCTGTAGCTGTCATCGAGGGTGCGTTCGCGTTATCACCGAGGTTTGTTTACATACCTGTGCATATGTCTATGCTGGTGTAACAGCTCAGTAATGGCGTCGGCACAAGATGGCAGCCTACACAGAACGCTCATCGGATTCGTCTATAACAGTGGTTCTCAAAGTGGGGTCCGCGGACCCCTGGTGGTCCGCGAGCTAAAGCCAGGGGGTCCGCGAAATAATTTACAACCTAACGTTTTTTTCCATGCTATGAGTCATGTTTTCTTTATCATCTGAAAACATGCTGTTTATTCCTAAGTAACTTATATAAAGCATTTAACATAAAACAATACAAAGTAGACACTTAAAGTTTTCTATAGATAGATAATCTATGTCTTTGCGTCAAGTAGACTATTCGCTGCTGTTGATTTTGTGGGACGTGCGCCAGAAAGGAGACAGAGAGACGGCATGAACCCGCATCCGGTTCTTTTCTGTATTTTTAAACGCATGACATTTTGTAGTCATTTATAATGTAGCCTATACACAAATAAAAAAAATGGACACTTTACCGTTTCGGATGATGCACTCTTGTCTTATCTATGACCATAAATAAGAGTATTCCTGTTTCCACTGCTGAGGAAAAATTCCCATGTAATTGCGCGCCGGCGTCTCGCGTGCGCGCACAATAGTCAGTTCTAGCACTGCTACTGTAGATTTGACATTAGAAGTCTGATCATTATCAAAATAAAAGTGCATAGTGACAGGGCCGTACCCACAACTGAGGTTGCAAGGATGCACATCGCGATGATACTGACCTTCTCGTCTGAGGTGCTTCAGCAGACTAACAACGACAGCTCAATGTCAAAATGTTTGAGTCGGAGTGAACTCAAAGTTCCCCGCACGACGTTTCAGTCAACGGTCATAAAGTGGGAGATAAGATGTAGGCCTTAATTAACATAAACTAAACAGCTGTTTTAGATAAAAGTTTTAAAAAACGACTGAAACAATCAGTTTGCAAAGTATTAATCAAGCTCAACTTTAACAAAGGAAAAAGCAGGTCAATAGAAACATACTGTGCCCATGAGATTAACATTATGGATTCATATATTTAACATATACTGTATGTTTTTTTTTAGCTAATTACAGTAGCTCAAATTAACAACGCACGCACCTATTAAACATAATGCCATTATCATTGTATTTATAGGCTTATGGGCTTTATTTGTGTGCAGAATAGGCCTAATTATTGAAACATTTCTCTTTTAAGGCCATTCCTGATTGGAATATGTGATTGTGTTTCGTGACATCTTGACAAAAAAAAAAAATGTATGCCACTGACTGACATGCTTCTACTAAATCTATAGTTATCCAATTGTGGGGCCTTAAAACACCTTAAAATGCACATGTGTAGATCAAGAACATCAAAAATTCCTAAGTGAGGGATCCTAACTAAGTGATTCCTAGCAAGATCACTTTCGTTACCTCAGTAGGCTATTTAGAAATTCCTGCATAGTACCCTGGGTGGAGACCATTCATTTTGTGCAAAAATATTTCATTTGCCGCTCACACATTAATTTTGTGCTCAATAACTGTTATAAATATGAAGGGGGTCCTTGGAATTTTTTTTCCCCTGAAAGGGGTCCCTGGCACCAAAATGTTTGAGAACCCCTGGTCTATAAGAACCCTTTAGGGTTCTTTGTAACCAGGAAAATGGTTCTTTATGGAACCTTTTGGGTTCATTCATTATCATTTGTTTTGTCCTTTCCGGATTGAATATTTCATATTTTTGATGTACATCAAGACCCTAAAATGTATTTATAAATGCATGTAAATGATCACAAAATTCAAGATAGGCCTATGGGGGTTAGAAAGTGTATATATTTATTTCATTTTATGTGGGTAATCATTATCACACGAAGAGTGCCATTTCAAGTTTTCTCCTCCAAAAATCAGCATGCAAAATGTGAAATTAAGTTATACAATAGTTTAATAAACAATGATTTAATTACAACTACAAAATGTTGCAGAATAATGTAATATATGAAGGAATAATAGCCTAGAGCAGTGATTTTCAACCAGTGTGCCGTGAGAGATCGTCAGGTGTGCCCTGGGAAATTATTTAATATCACCTAATTAACCGTTGTTGGGTATCTGTGCAAAGTGTGGCAGATAATGTAATACTCTTATAGTTCAGTGGGTGGCACCAGAGGGTGATAAATGCCTGTAAAGAAGCTGTCACTCACTCTACAGAGTTAGTGCGCACGTGACAGTGACAGTTTGAGATCTCAGCAAGACGAGCAAGTGACAGTGATGGAGAAGTTTTTGAGAAGGAAAAATGCAAATGCCGAACAGGCCCCTGGACAAAACAAAACTGCAAAACACTGCCAATGATTTGTCTGCTGAATACATTTCTGATGGATCAGGTTCACCTGCTCCTGGATGCTCAATTTCACCATCCAGCTCTTCAAGTGGAAGACGTGAGTAAAACAATGATACAGCATTAAATAATCCACAAACATTTTGAAAGCAAAACTTGTAATTCAATGTGAGCACGCCTTTAACATGTACAGTTAACAGATTCGATGTATGTATATGTACAAACCAAATTCCAAAAAAGTTGGGACAGGTAGCAATAAGAGGCCGGAAAAGTTATAGGAACAGCTGCAGGACCAATTTGCAACTTATTAGGTCAGTTGGAAACATGATTGGGTATAAAAAGAGCCTCTCAGAGTGGCAATGTCTCTCAGAAGTCAAGATGGCCAGAGGATCACCAATTCCCCCAATGCTGCGGCGAAAATAGTGGAGCAATATCAGAAAGAAGTTTCTCAGAGAAAAATTGCAAAGAGTTTGAAGTTATCATCTACAGAGCATTATATTATCCAAAGATTCAGAGAATTCAGATTCAGGCATTTTCTCTGGGCCATGGCTCATTTAAAATGGGCTATGGCAAAGTGGAAAACTCTTCTGTGAGCTGACGAATCAAAATTTTGAAGTTCTTTTTGGAAAACTGGGACGCCATGTCATCTGGACTAAAGAGCACAAGGACAACCTAAGTTGTTATCAGCGCTCCGTTCAGAAGCCTACATCTCTATGGGGTTGCATGAGTGTGTGTGGCATGGGTAGATTACACATCTGGAAAGGCACCATCAATGCTGAATGGTATATCCAAGTTCTAGAACAACATATGCTCCCATCCAGACGTTGTTTCTTTCAGGAAAGACCTTGCATTTTCCAACATGACAATGCCAGACCACATACTTCATCAATTACAACATCATGGCTGCGTAGAAGGAGGATCCGGGTACTGAAAAGGCCAGCCGGCATGATCTTTCACCCATAGAAAACATTTGGCACATCGTAAAGAGGAAGATGCGACAAAGAAGACCTAAGACAGTTGACCAACTAGAAGCCTTTATTAGACAAGAATGGGACAACATTCCTATTTCTAAACTTGGGCAACTTCTCCTCAGTCCCTTGATGTTTGCAGACTGTTATAAAAAGAATGAGGGATGCCACACAGTGGTAAACATGGCCTTGTTCCAACTTTTTTGGAATGTGTATTTCTCATGAAATCCAAAATGAGCCAATATTTGGTATGACATTTCAAAATATCTCACTTTCAACATTTGATATGTTATCTATATTCTATTGTGAATGAAATACAAGTTTAAGAGTTTTATAAAGACTTTCTCTTACTTTTTTACTCACAATTCCTACAGTGTCCCAACTTTTTTGGAATCGGGTTTGTATATGTGTATTTGTACAAATCTGCTTCTGAGATTCTGGAAGTAAGCAAATGTCCAGCAAAAAAACATGTATCAGAAATAGCCCGACAAATGGTGATTGCATACCCAAAGTCTTTCAGAGATGAGATTAATTCCCAGGTTGTAGGAAGTGGATATGATTCTCTTCTCAAACAACTGGTGTGTAGAATTGACAATGTTAAAAGAGCAGAAGCTATTAGTACACCACTTTGTGGTACTCTAGAAGTATCAACAAAGAAACGAAAATTGTTATATGGTTGTATAAATTCTGATCCACAACTGCTAGTTGGAGAAACATCTGAATTGCAGCAGGGAAAAAAAAGAGAAGTTGCTAGTAATGTTTCAAAATAATGAAAGTGATGTAAAGTCAATCTATGACTTAATGACTTCTACTTACACCTCTCAAAGAAACAACATCCAATCTGGAAAGGAAACCAAAGATTTACTTGATGAGTGGCCATATCTTTTTCAGCCAGCAGGAATGAAAGCACACTTTAAAGAGCTCACTGGCGTTGACATGAACAACAGCTTTGAAGAATCAGCTTCCTGTAAGTTCAGAAGAATATTGGACTACTTTCAATTTCAGTGCACAGAAAGAGCAAGCAGAGCAGGGAGAATCCTCACAAAGTATAGAGCTGGGGGGGATCATGTTTGTGGGGCAGTGATGTTGCTGCTAACCCATTTCAAAAATTACCAAGACCACTTTCTTGTGATGGTAGAAGACACCTCTGTTCCAAGTGATATATGCTCAGAACAGCTTCCAGCAACACCATGTATAGTAGTGTGTGGTGGGTATTATTTACTATGATCTTGCAACACAATAATTCCTGGTTTCGGGTGACCTGAACTCACATTCTGTTAAATATTATGTCTTCCTGATTTTGTGTTTGTTCAAAGGAGAGAACCCACTGACAGCCAGTGTGTACATGGTAGCAGTGGACCAGATGATTGTAAATGACCATCTCTTGAGTTTTACAGAAGCCCTGTATCTGATGTTCTCTCTTTACTATATATTGAACATCAGTTACCCTGTAGAACTGGGAGCCACACTAGAATTCTTGCAAAGGTAATTCATAGACTGCATTCCTTTGGTCAAGAAGCATACAACAATTATTTAAGGATATGGTTTTTGTTGTGTTTAGGTGCATCTTTAGGATAAATCCTCATAAAGGTACCAAGGTGGAAAAGAGAGAGAAAAAGAGAGCGTACTCTGTCAACCCCAGAGTATTGAGTCTGACGTCAAAAATTGCTGCATTTGACTGGGGAGTAACAGGTATAGAAGCTCTGTTGTCTTTTATAGTAGAGGTAGACTTTATCTTCTGTTTATCATTCATCTATGATAAAGTGCACCAAAGGACAATCATTTTTATAATTAACTCCAATAAATGTGATGTAGTTTTCTGTCACCCAAACTGAGTATTTGGTTAAGGCTTGTTGCTGTTTCTGCTTTTCTTTTAGTTTGGGTTTTAATTATAACTGTTTGTGTCCCCACAGATTGAGGTCTTTCAAAAGACTGACATTTCTCTGAAGAACAAGACAGTCCGACTTCGGTGTACTACTTTTGTACTTCAGTGCAGTGCTCTGTTCCTTAAATCATTTTTATTACGTTGTGATGTGATTAGGATTAGCCTATATATATTTTTTTTATTGAACAAATTTGTGTTCTAAAACATGACTTTTGCTGGGAAGTGTTTTTCCATCGTTTGATTTTGAAGATTTGCTCTAAAATCAGAAGCTTGATTAAAAGAAAGTTGTTTACAGCAATACTCTGGCATAATTTATTGAGTATTTTTCATTTGTTTTTTAACATTACTTCAGTTACACAGTATACAAATATGTCCCTGTACATTTGGTTTAAATAAATAAATTCACTAGAAAAATATTATAGCATGAAAACATTTAAGCCCAGATTTGCTAACTATTTGTGGCAGTGCACAAGTTCTGAATGTGTCAGGGTTTCAGAAGACATGATAGAAAGGCATGTACAGTGATTATTGCATCTTTATTCGATATGCTTTTGTAGGAAATTTCCTGTACAAAAGCATCCCTCTACCCTTTTTGTGCCTGACCTGGCAGTAATGGTTACTAATTGAACTTATTTTTTATTTGGTCGTTATGGAAGGGAGCTGCTGCAGTTATGATCTTGCACGTTGTTACATTTCTACACTCAGAAAACATTCAAATTCATCCTGAAGTTACCCTGAAACAATTTTAGCACATTTTAAGTTTAGGATGCTTGCTATTTACCTTTAATGAGATAAAAATGAAAATCTGTCTTGAACTCTCAGGTGTATACATTAATTTGTTCTGCTAACCATAAAGATATTTTTTTCACTTGTGTTTGTAACCAAACAGTTTAGTGACAACTTTCACTTACATGGTATTTTTTTCAACTGGGCTATGCACTTAAGTCATGACTCATGACGTAAGGAATACTGTGTGCGGGTTTAACCCTCCACTGATTTCAATAGAGGATACGATTTTTAATCAGCCATTTATGAGCACCATTTATCTCACCCCTTAGGCAACACCTTTATAAACTCCGTGTACGCTGCGGTTTCCCGGCTCTCAAAATCACAGACAGCAATATTTAGATCCAATAGTGCGGTAGAGATATGGCTTATAGCCGTGGCTCTCAGGGCAGAGATGGTGAGCCCCAGTTTTATGACATTTTATAAAATAAATGAATTTATATAATTATATAATTTATAATTTAAATAAAAAAGGCTTCTAATTACCAGCACTACATTGTATATTATAAATTATGTTTTTTTTTTTTTAATTAAAATATTAAGTTTTGAAACAAGTATATTGTTTAAAATATACTTGAATGTTTTATGTCATACATTTTCTTTTGGGAGGCCACGTAGGGATTCACAGTAAAAAACGGGCGGGGCGGGGCAAGCTGAGGAAGTTTGAGAACCACTGGCTTATAGATTTGACTTTTTTGTGATAGATTAAGCTATTTATTTGCAATGAAAAAAGTTGAAAGTGGAAATAAAGTAGGCTACTTTATTACGAGAAGAGTGTTTATTAAAAATAAAAGATTTGATGGGTATGCCGAACCAGCATATCTTTGATTCCACGCACGACTCTCTAACGATTAGGCTACAACAGCCCTCAAAATAATACAGTGCTCTAACGGAGCTTAAGTGAAAACAGATGCCTTTCGCCACTAACCACAGCGGCAACAAACTTAAAAATATGACTTTATAAACAACAGTCCGCCGCGAGACCGCCTCTTTAACAAACAAACGAACGAAATGTATGACAAGCAGAAAACAATTAGTAGGCTAAACACCGACTATAAATCAAGGAAACACCATTGTACATTGTGTCGGATCACCAATGAAGTTTAGAAAAGATGCGCAATTTGTCCTAATGTCTTTAGTGGCACAGACACTAGTGTGGAAGCCTCGTATTTGATGCTTGTTTCAAAGTCTTTGGTTCGAATCTGTAATTCCTACATTTTGGTATCACAAATCACATCGAAACACAACAAAAATGATTAGGCTTAGAAGTAAAGTGTTTAACAAGTGCTTAATAAAACATGTTAGGCCCTTATAGCATCCTGTTAATGTAGCCTACACAATTACTGAGATGCAAACAGAATCTGGCAAAATATAGAATATAGCATCTAATTACTATTTACACTTATTGCAAACTATCGCGACATTTACATTATGTAAATAGAAGCTATGTAGGCTAAATCACAACTGTTGCTTTTTGCACATGTGCATAGTCACTGCTTAATTTAACCGAAACAAGACTATTTTGGTGTTAATGTATGCATATTTAATGGGATTTCACCTTCCTGATGAAAATGTGATATGACTGTGAAATTCAACTGGTTTCCTTTGTAGAACTATTTATTTTTTTTGTCAACTCTGACCAAAAATATACAGGGATGTTTTTTTTAAGGACATGTCAGGATAACAATACACAACAATTACTGTTTTTTAAAGGAAATTGACATTTTTTTGCAGTAAAAATTTTCAATTGTTAAAAAACATGGAAAACGTACATCAGATGTCAAAGTTAGTATTATTATGGAATTTCACAGGTCTGATCAAAATTTCTTAATACTGTTAAATTTTACCGTTTTTTTTTCCCTGTAAAAATACATTTATTTTTTACAGTGTAGGACTTTAGGGGGATGTTCCGTAATGGCAATCTTATGGTCACATAACAACGTTACAAAGAGGATGGAATCAAAACGTTCTCATATGGTTCTAAGTCAGTCATATTATAACGTTCCTTATATGACTTTTTAAGGGGGACATTCCGTAATGGCAATCTTATGGTCACATCACAACGTTACAAAGAGGATGGAATCAAAACGTTCTCATATGGTTCAGTCATATTATAACGTTCCATAGGGTTTGGTTGAGGGTTACTTACTTCATGCATAATTTACTGTTATTACTATGGTAAGTACATGTAACATATGTAACAAGGACACTGTAAAATAAAGTATTTCCAATTTATTATTATTTTTTTAAAGGTTATTGATGTTTCTCTGCAACGGTCTCTCCAAAAAAGAAATGTGATTTTTCCAATAACCTTTGATATATTAATAACCTAGAATTATTACAATAAGTACAATATTTATGATCAGTATAAGCACAATGTATTTTAGCCATACATATAAAAATATGAAAAATATAGTTATAAAATACTACCATTGCTAATAATAGCAATGAAAAAGATTAATCTTTGTGTGCTTCTACAGCATGTGATTGAATTGCAGTGGTGTACATAGCCAGATGGTCCTTAGCCACACGTTTTCTTTGTGTATCAGTCAGTATTTTCTCTGCAGTGGTCCCAAATCAAGTCAAAATTCTTCTGTCCACGTCAATATGTTGTTTGCATTTCTGAAAAAATCTGATTTGGCAAATATCTTTTTAGGAATTACATTACCATGGATAATAATGTCACATGAAATATTTTTTGAAGACATCATAAAATATGTCAATCTTACAATTTCAGATAAGCACAAGGCAGGGTTTCTGAATCAGTATTTTTGTGAGTAGTTCTCTCTTTTATAAAGGCATATCTCTGTCTCTCTCAGTTATCTTCATTTTATCCTTCAACATGGAGATGTTAGGTTTCTTTTTCTCACATTCTGTCTTCATCTTGCCTATGTGCTGTCTTATACTAAATCCATCCTCTGTAGTCATCTAAGTAATAGAAAAACAATAGTTATAGTTTAAAGTCAACAGTGACCAAAAGAGCAACACTCTCAGACAAATACGGACTTAAGACAAAACTGGAATGATGCACTATGCAGAACATTTAAACACAAGTGTATTAAATCTTGAATTTGTTTCTCAGCATTCCATGCCAGGATTCCTGCAAACAAGAACAAAAAAATGTAACAGTATTACAGGTATTAAAGGGAAAGTTTACACACAAATGAAACCCCTGCTGAAAAATCCAGCTAAAACCAGCCAAGGCTGGTTGGCTGGTTTTGGCTGGTCTCCCAGCCTGGTTAGTTGGTTTATCAGGCTGGTTTTAGAGGGGTTTTGAACACTTTTTCAGCTGGTCAGGCTGGTCTTAGCTGGTCAAGTTGGTAGCCAGGCTGGGAGACCAGCTTAACCAGCTAAGTCAGGCTGGGAGACCAGCTTGACCAGCTAAGCCAGGCTGGGTGACCAACTAAAACCAGCTACTTCCAGCTTAAACCAGCTAAGACCAGCCAACCAGCCTAGGCTGGTTTTAGCTGGATTTTTCAGCAGGGACTTCTAACATCATTTACCAATTTTCCTGTTATCATTCACTTCCACTGCATCTTTTATCCATAAGTGAATGGTGATTTTGGCTTTAAATTCTGCTTTTTTCATTGACTTCAATCATGAACCATTTAAATAACAAAAACCATTGAAATAAATTTCGAACTAATGCAAAAAATAATACTAATAATTCACTGCTTCAAGTCAAAACATGTGGACATGCTATTTATTTCATAAATTCCATCAAAGGTGGAAAGGACTTAGGACAGTGATACAATAAAATTTTTAGCATAAAAAAACATCTTGCAAGTCCAATGTCTGTTTGGTCTCTCAAGTTTGGATACATCTCAATTAGTGCAGTACAGATTTCTTTATACTGTTGCTGCCATGACTCAACAGATAACAGGAAGCAATAGCAGGTAAACAACTCTTTATTATTTGAAGAGGAAGTCCAAACAGAAAGACACAGGCGTGGAAATGGTGACACAGGGACGTCGATTGTCAGCGTGGTGAATCCCAAGTGGTGCAGTGAAGACAGACGAAGAACAATCCACAAGCGGTGATAATCCACAATCAAGACGAACTTCACAGAAACACACGACTGGAACACCGACACATCCAACAACAATCTGACAATGGAGATGAGAAAACTGTGAGTATTTATAGTGAAATCAAGGAATGACACTCAATCACGCCCATGACACACATGCTTTCATACAACAACGACACGGGACGAGAAGGAAGCAATGAATTTGTATACCGTGACAGCTGCTGTGTAGGATACCTTAGCCAAAATTATACATTTGCAGTTATTAAGTAAATGCAGCGCATATTAGTAATATTATATGTGTGACTTACCAAGTTATGGTGCATATATAGTCAAACAACATCTGAACAATTTGCGACCTCCATTTAGAACAGAATGTTGGCTGGTGCAATTCAGCCATGTTGTTTTCCATTTTTTGTTTCAACAGAGCTGGAAAATCTGGTAATTTGAAAATTGTTGGCCAAGTTAGTCCTGAATTTGTCTCATGAACTATATTAGATGGTCCATTTCCACCTGATGGAGTGAGCAAAATAATCATTATCATCATGATTATTGTTATGTCTTAATGTATTTAAAAATGTCCAATTGGATTGATGCTGAACTAAAGTTGAGAAAAACAGAAAACTTCAGATTTTAATTAAATTGACTTACTCATGGTTCTTGTCCATACTCTTGGCGCTATTCAGGTTGTCCATCATTCGATTGAATTTAATTCTTTGTTTTATTATTGGCACCAATTGCTCCACCATCCTCTCATTTAGTGCCAATAATGCATCACCATTTATTTGGTGTTCTAAAAGAGAGAATACTAAACTGTTATATCAAGAAATTCAATAATTAACATTTTTAACTTTTTTAGATGAAAATCGAAATGTGCAAAAATGGAGCAGGAAAAAAATATTAACAAGAGGGACTGACTGTAATACAGTGTCTAAGTGGGATTGATATCTGCCCATCTTACTTCCTGTAACCATCAAGGCAGTGGTGTCCAATCTCCTCACCAGGTTTCACAACAGTCCATTGATGCTTCTCCTCAACAACATATGAGCTGAAATGATTGTCAAAGTAGGAAGAAATGAAAATTTTCCCACACAGAAGCTAAGTCTGATTGACACAGTATATTCCCCAGATCTCCGTAAACACTGGTATCTCCTCTGCATGCACTGTGCTGACAACGATGTAGTCTTCCACATGGTATGCAACATTATTTAGCAACATTATTTACATAGATGTATTTTGTTTTACTGACAGTCACAGGCACAGAGGTTGTTTGAGACATTAAGGCTTTGCGTGTGTCAATTGGCAGAGCCTCCAAAGGAATATTTCGTGTGTCTGCAGTTTTAGTATGATACCTAGGCACAGGAGCGTAGCACCAAATTCTGGGCCCTGTATACTCTCCATGTCAGTGGGCACATGCCATTGTACGATGCGGGTTAGCAAAATGAAAATTCAATTTTGAATGAAGTTTTCTTTTAATTATTTGAATATAAACAAGTATAAATAGTGTTTAAATCTATAATCAAATCGGATTATAGTAACGACTAGTTCTTTCATTCACCACCTGAATTGATGCATTTGGCCTACTTGTGCTCAAATACCTTTAAACCTTAGGCTACATCGGATTTGTGTACTAACATTTTGATCTATGATACTGATGCAAGTTTTAAAGGTTCTCTAAGCGATGTGGGGCCAAAACATTTTTTGTCACATATATCAAACGTCTCCTCACTATCGGCTAGCTGCCTATCCCCTAAACACACTGTAAAAAAACGCGGTCTCTGTAGACACCACAGGCTCCACAAATGGCAACAAAAACAATCATGTCTCACCCGGACCACGAAACCTAACAAACAGTGTCCAGCCAATCACTGGCAAGAAGTATTTGAGGGTGGGTCTGGGGGGTTAGTGCGCGTGTACATGAAGGGTGTGTGTGTGTGTGAAGGAGAGAGAAGCATAAGAGGGAAGTTTGAAAAAATGGCCGAAACATGACCAAAGAGACGTCGTTCTGAAGAACAAATTAAAAAGAAGAAGGAGTCGGATAAAGAACGTGCAAAGTTCCGAATTTACATCGGTTGCAAAGCTTTTGAACGATGGCGAGAACTCCGGCGGCAGAAGGGCTTCCAGTCCGACATTCAGGTTGCTCTGTTTTTGCTGGACAGGTGGGTAACGTTAAATTGTTTTTTTTCTTCTAAATTGACGCTTATGTTCGCCAAACCCACACAATGATATAATTAGCTAGAACTATGCACGTTCACAATTATTTCAGGAAGCACGGAAGGGAGGGGGAGGAGATGAGATGTGGAGGAGGGAGGGTTTAGCTAGCCTCCGATTTGTTTGAAAATATTCTGAACGTCAACACCCAGGATCGCTTAGAGAACCTTTAAATTAAAAACATTTATTTTTGAACAGGAGAACACAAGAGACAACTGTACCCTCAGTAACCATCAAATAAGCTAAGCCTGCCATAATTCAAAAAAAGTCAATTATAAAAAACTAAATGTAAAATGAGATGTAATATACATCCCAGTAAATCCCCACTGACGAGTCTTTTTGTTTGCGAAATCAGTGATGGGATCTGTAAAGTCCAACTGTTTGGCCAATTGGCTTTCAATTGACAGAATGGCGAGGCTGTTTGGTAAAAAAACTACCTGAGCTCAACAATGGGCCAGGATAGACCAGTTTTAACTTGCTGAAAGCTGTTCCTGCAACTGTGACAGGAAGTGTGCAGAAAATCCTTAAAACAATACAAAGCTTTCCAAAAATGCTCTGCAGCTGCATCTTCATTGCAGCTGGCATTGAGGACCTCAAGAAAGGACAAAGTTTTTGAAAATGTAGCATCATAAATGGTGCGGAAGTGAAGCACTTCATTTTCAAATTTTTCTGAGAGATCCGTGTCATGAATTTTTGCCAGTGTCTGGCATGCTTCTTTTATCTGCACTGCAGTCATATCTGTTAGCTTCAGAATAGGTGCAAATGTTTCACATATCTTTGCTGTGGTCTGAAATCTGGCACTCAATGCACTGATGATGCTATCCATTGCAACAAAAAATATTTTGTTCCTGAATGCATTTTCTGCACTTCAGTAGTCTTCAGTAGTTGCATATTTTTGTGTCATCTCATCAGGCATGCGTTTCCTTTTGCGCTTCCATGTCTTTTCAATCCGAAAATGATCAGGGACATCCATTGTTTGCGCTACTAGGGAGGGCTCTGCAAGCAGTGAGTCCCATCTATCACGAAGAGCCTGCATTTCCTCTTGATGTTTTCAGCCTGAACATCCAGAGAAATATCTCCTGCCTGAAGAATTACATTTCGGTTTTCATTGCACTGTAAAAGCTTTACCCACACAGTGAGCAGGGCGATAGCATCAAAGGTCTTGAAATAACTTATCAAACCATTTGCCTTAAACTTGGTGTGGTAGTCAAGCTTGTTGCCTTCCCTTATAATTATATGAGGATCGTAGGCCAATTGGCTGTCTCCAGGGGGATATAAAGTGCGACAGACCTGTGCGGTACGTCAACGTCATTTGTCGACGTCACTGACGCGCCGCAAACACTTTACTGTGGCTGCTTCCTACATCAGGTGTGGACATTAGAGAGGTGAGAACGCTTGGTGACTTTGAGATCGTTGTTTTAAATTTAGTCAGCTGTTCCGTTTTCATGCGGACGCAATGTTGGGGTGACTACCGTTGTTGGGTGTGTGCGCTCCGATTATGCACGCATCATTCATCTTCGGTATGTCTAACAAGCGTTTACTAAGTTCCGGTGAGGTTTTATAGTAGTAATATTAAATGGTGACATTCTATTTTATTCCAGGGCTCTCCTTAAAACGTTGGAGAGCGTAAGCTGATTGTGATTGCCGTCCCTCTCGTGTGATTCAAATCAACGGATTCGTTTCTCCTCTAGATCTCGCGCTGCTGTGGCTGCTAGTTGGGCGCGTTTCACGTCCTGCCCATGGACAACATTGCTGTTTTGTTTGGTTTTGTTTTGTGCTGATTTTGATTTACATTTTCTTTTGGTTAAGTCAGCTTTATTTACGTTTGAAAATACGTGAAACTATTTGTTTGGTTTTTTTTTTGCCTTTGCCTATCCTAATTTATTTTATTTTGCTTTCTATTTTGCTAGAACTTTATCTTTTTCTTTCTGGGGGTTGTTTTGCAGTGTATTTACTTTGTGTGGTTTATTTGATTTATCTTATTACTTGCAGCTTCATTATCTTTTTGTATTTTTTTTTGTTTTGTTTGTTTTCCTGCTTAGTTAATTAGAGTAACCTGATTTAGATCGGTTTATTTTTCTGTACCCTGTTAGACCCAGTTTGCTGTATTCCTCTGTTTACGGTTGGGATCAATTTGGTTTATTTTTCCGTATACTAAGACCCTATTGTTTTGTTTGTTTTTTTGCATCTCTTTAACTCTTTTTTTTTTTGGTTGATTTATTTGTTTAATTCATGATTTGTATTGTGTGGGAATAATAGGCCCTGTATATTTCTTTTTCGTTAATCCTCATTTTTGTATTTTTTGTTAACTACATCAAAATCAAGCAATTTCAGTGTTTTAATAATTCAGTGTGCCTGTGAGTGACACACATTAAGATTGTTTTGTTCTTGTGCCGCAGGATCTAGGGCCAAAGGCAGGGGGGGCCGACTCTATTCCCTCTAAGTGGTGGTGGTGTGTTCACAGTGTGCCGTGTCCATCCGTGGAGTAAGGTGTGAGTGCGTGCGTTTGTGTGCACTGGTGCAAGGAATGGTTTTCTGTTATAAACAGTCTCATCCCCGATAGCCTGACCCTGCTGGTAGGCCCCAGTTAGCTGGTGTCTCTGTGGCCCTTTTCAGAGCCGAACCCTTATGCTGAGTTATGTTTGACTGATGCCTGATTTATTTTAATGATTGTTTTTAAAATGATTGTTTAACTAAATAAAGTCAACTGTTTTGTATTGTTACCCGTGTCTCTGAGCAATTATTGATGAACGAACTTGCGTGTCCTGTTAGAGACACTAAATTCTCTGGGTGTAACTCCCTGAGTGCCGTAGTTAGCAATCAAGTGCACCTCCGGGTTGCCACATTGGCTTCACTTGCTAAACTGGAGGTGGCTAAGACACATTCCAGTGCCTCAAGGATGAAGGGCAAATGCACTGCCACAACTTGTACTGCAGCAATGCGGGCACTCCATCGAGTGTCAGAGAGACGATGAAGAGAGAACCCTGTCTTTTCTTTAAGATTGCCCATCGCTCTGGACTAGCACTGAAAAGATTATAGAGATGGTTTACAGAGCCAAAAAATGTTGCAACCTCTGGACATGACTCAGCTGCATGGACACCAACCAGGCTGAGGGTGTGGGAAGCACAGGGAGAGAATGTAGCAAGCGGATTGACTTTTAAAATCTGAGCTTGTACTCCTTTCACCTTTCCTGACATGTTGGCTCCATTATCATAGCATTGTCCTCTTCAGTCTTGTAAAGGTATGCCATTGGACTGCAACACTTCAAGAATCATTTCAATAATTTCCTGGCCTGTCTTTTTGTGAAAATCTTTGAATTCAATAAACCTCTCAACTATCTTCCAAACACTGCTGTCTTCTTTGTCTTGATGTACATAGCAATAGCACATTCTGTTCTGTATGAGATATGTCTGGTGTTGAGTCACATATGACAGAGTAATATATTGCATCTTCTCTTTCTTTCAGGATAGTGTTGAGCACTCTCTTGCCACAGATCTCAATGAACTCGTTCTGGGTGTCTGGACTTAGGTAGTGAGTTAAATTGTTCCCTTTCTTTTTTTGCCTTACTTTTTCTATGTGCTTTAGTAAGAGGGGATCGTGATTGTGATGAAGAGTCAGAAGCATTCGGATCCATGTGCAATAACTTTAATGAAGAGTCAAACAAAGAAACAGAATAGGCACAACACTGGTGAGAAAAGTCTAGGGCAGTCCAAACTCGAAGTGGTTACCAGGCAGGGGTCGTAGGCAAGCAGCTAACGTTCATAGAGTGAAGTAACTAGGCGGGGGTCGTGGGCAGGCGGCAAACGCTCATATGGTGATCAGGGAAACAGGCTAGGATCGAGGAACCAGGAAAACATGGAGTTCAGGAAAGATGCTCAGAATTGCTTGCCGTGGCAGTAACAAGACCTCGCAGGGAACAGCGGGGAGAGAGAACCAGATAAAGGGGAGCTGAGTGGGAACATGTGGCGATGATAAAGATGAGACAGGGCTGGAGGATGATAAGGCTGGGAGAGATAGGAAGTGAAGTCCTAGAACTCAGGAGAGAGAGATATTGTGGGGCCAGGAGAGGGCGTAACAAATTGCATTGTGACAGAGCCCCCCCCACCCCCCCTGCGAGCGGCTCCCGAAGCAAGAACCTGGACGGCGACGGGGTCTTCTACGGGGTCTGGGAGCAGGGCGATCAGGGTGATTCTGGTGGAAGGTGGTGAGAAGAGATGGGTGAAGGATGTTTTGTGATCTTTCCCAGGAGCGCTCCTCTGGACCGCACCCCTCCCAGTCAACTAGATACTGGAGAACCCCTCTACGGCGTCTGGAGTCCAAGATCTCTCGCACACGGTAAGCATCCTCGTCTCCGATGTTAATGGGGGGAGCGTTCCTCGCCTCGACCCCCTCCTGGTCCTCCTCTCTCCTAGGAACAGTAGCGGGTCTGAGAAGAGAAACATGAAAAGTGGGTGAGATGCGGTATGAGGAAGGAAGGGCTAACCTCTAGGAGACTGCGGTGATCTGTCTCAGGATACGAAAGGGACCAATGAAACGTGGAGATAACTTCTTGCAAGGGAGTCGAAGACGTAGATCACGAGTGGACAGCCATGCCCATTGACCCGGTCAAAAGGAAGGACCGCCTCTCCTATGTCGGTCAGCTTGCTGCTTGAACTGTCAGACGGCGCGCTGAAGATGGACGTGGGCGGCGTTCCAAGTCTCCTCACTTCTCTGCAACCATGCGTCCACCGCTGGAAGTTCTGTGGGCTCACCCGACCAGGGAAACGACAGAGGTTGGAACCCAAGCACGCACTGGAAGGGAGTGAGACCAGTCGACGGCTTACGGAGGGAATTCTGGGCATACTCCACCCAAACAAGGAAGCGACTCCAGTCCTGCTGGTTTTGGTGGCAGTAAGTTCGGAGAAACCGAATGAGGTCCTGGTTAAGCCTCTCCACCTGTCCGTTGGCCTGTGGGTGGTAAACAGAAGTGACACTGACGTTAATGTTCACTTGATTACAGAGAGCTCTCCATACCCGTGAAGTGAACTGAGGTCCTCTGTCAGAGACAATATCCTCCGGTAATCCATATAGATGGAAGACTTGGTGAAGAAGGACCTCTGCAGTCTGGAATGCTGTGACACTTGGCTAAAATCAACATATTATTACACATAAATTCAATATTTTTGTTGTCCAAAACGTTTAAGACTGTGATCTTCAAAGGGAGGTATTATTATTATTATTATTTTGTCTTCAACCACTGTCCCAAAAGGACTCAACAGTTGTAAAAAAAAAGATGTTCTTGAGATGCAATACTTTTTGACAGAATGTACATTACTATGCAACTTAAACCTTACTCTTAAAAATGTATTACATGGATAAATGTTGTCATTTGTTATTTGTTATTTTTATTTTTGTAAATTTAATTTTGTAATGTTATTTTATTTTTTATTTTTTTAAATGTACTTCTTTAACTGACTCTCATTGTCTAATGTATAGTGGCGGGCGGGATGAGAGTTTGTTAGACAACAAGAAAGTAAATTTAACATTCTCAGTTCATTCAATAATGCCAGTGTAGTGAAGTTTTTCTATTCTTCCACGCAACAGACCAGGAGACTCTTGAGGTATCTTTTACGCAGACGTTCTTTATTGCGTAGCTGTAGTCATCTCAAGGATAGTCTAACTAAGGGAAAACATTCCCTTACAATTTATACATTTAGAGGGGAGGAGTTTACATTGAGGGGGGAGAAACTGAAACAAAGCATGCAAATGAATTAGGAACACACCCTACTCTGAGGCCATTACCAATCCGATTGAATCAGCATAACTATTCAAATGCTGATAGTGGCAGGAACTCTGGTTCCAAAGAGCCATCCCAGAGCCATTAAAGACTTTATCAGTTTTTATACCATTGGAGTGGAAACCTAAATTAAACATTTGACAAATTTGTATTTCTCCAATTCCCCCTTTGGGAGTTCTAAATAACTCCAACACTATATACAAATTTTAAACAATTAAAAGTTCACTCTTGTAACTTTTGCTAGTTACAGGCACATACTCATGTTCTGTGTTTGCTTTTTCTGTAATTACATGCTGACACAGAAAACAAACATGTAATTAGGGTCCGTGAAGCTCTTACGGAAAAATTAAACTTCAGTTACATCTGGTGTAATTTTTTTGCTGAAAGATCAAGACTGTTTAACCATCATGTTTGTGCACAAATGAGTCAATGCAGCCATCTTCGGCTGTGGCCTGCAAGGTTTCCAACAAAAACGAGGATTGTAGAGTCTTCACTTTGTGCGATGTCCTGGTGGTTACTACATCTTGATAATGTTGATGGATGACTGAAGGTTCCCGTAAGTCTTTTCTCTGCGTTGTGTATTTTTTCTTCTTTATTTGGTTATAGTTGGCTCGGCAGTGGGTCTCGTTGTTTTCTGGAAGTGGTGTCTTCATACGCAGGTGAAGACGTCTGTGCGTATGGGTCTCGGGACAGCCATCAAGGGGTATCTGCATACAGGAAGACAAAAGACAGGAGAGCAGTATTTCTTCAAAGACATGGGTTGTATCCTGCTGAGTAAACACTGAGTCTGCTATTGTTCCCTCTTTCCCTATTTCTTAATTCTTGACACCTAAAGAAAACAGTGAGGTGAGGATGGACTAAATGGATGGGGGAAACCTATGAGGGAGTCTTCACCGAAAGGGTTGGCCCCCAAAGCCTGTTGCATTTGGTTCTTCCCTTGGCTCCTCACTGGTTCGTGTCAATATCATGTCCCTGTGGGTGGCAGAACTTTGCAGAACACTTTGCAATGTGACAAATGAGACCAAGTTTTTCTTCCTTGACACAATACTGCCCGATCAACATCCCTTGATGGGGCACATGCCACTTAGGCTCTAATGGCTTGACCTGTCCTGTGACATGTGTACTTTGATCTGCGTAACCCAATCATGAGTTATTTTTCCTTCATCCTCTAACAAAACATCAGTCGTTTGTAGACATCATACGTGAGAATGGGTGAGGGTAGTTAAACCAATTTCCCCAATGGGAAAAGGTGACAATATTGACTTTTGCATCATTCATTATTGCGGACACTGCTTGTGGGCATTTACAGTCTGACCTAACACTATTATTGATGAAAGGCCTGTGCTGTAGAATAACATTTAAGGCTGTGAGTTTACTTAAAGCAGTCCCCCAAAGGAAAAGCTGAGACAGTTGCTAAGGCCATCTGACCAGATGCGGACCAGCGGTCCTTTGTCATTGAGTACACTTTCAGAATCATCCACTATTCCACTGTACGTTACAGCTGACTGACAAAACCTCTCAGTATATTCATTCACAGTTTCTTCTTTCTTTTGTACACAGTTAGTAATTCTAGACCAATCTATCTTGGGTCCTAGGACATTCTTTAGGATTTTCAATGTAAATGCAATGTAAATGATTCAACAGGCATCTCAGTTCATCAGCATAGCAGGTTTCTGTGCCCTGAGATGCTAATCTGGAGGAGTTAAATTGAGG